AGCCACACAGAACTGTACCAATTCTAAGGCACAGGAAAAGCAGCAGAGATCAACCAGTGACCCAGCCCAGTCTCTAATCTTCCTAGTCTTTTATCCCCTTGGGTCCATCAGCACCCCAGAATTCAGGGTGATGGAAGGAAGGGGTCTTTAACCAAACTAAGCAAGCAAACGGAGGACAAATAGCATGGCTCAAGAGACTGGGGGACGCAAGGCCATTGAGCCACAGCTGTACCTAGGCCTCCAGATGACACTGCCATCTGCTTTAGCTAGTGTGAGTTCTCCACACCACCAGTGGACAGTGAGCAGGCCCCTATGTGTGGCATAAGTTGAAAGGAGTCTTTCCTCTGCAGGTGTGTGGACACCGGGCAGGGGCAGGGCAGAGACTTGCCTTCTTCTTGAAGGAGGCTGCTCTGTGGCCAGGAGGAGGAGGAGCTTCTGCAGGGCTCCCCCTTCAATGGCTTCTACCTGGACCTTAGGATTGCTGTGGGGAAAAGCACAAGAAACGGTGATAGTGGCCGGGCGATGGTGGCACACGCCTTTTATTCCTGTGCTCAGGAGGCAGAGGCAGAGGCAGAGGCAGGTGGATCTGAGTTTGAGGCCAGTCTGGTCTACAGAGCAAGTTCCGGGACAGCTAAAGCTACACAGAGAAACCCTGTATGGGGGGGGTGGGGGAGAAATGAAAGTTTTGGGAAGGGGGGGGACCAAAAGAAAAACCCCGTTTTTAAAAAAAAAAAAAAAAAAAAAAAAAAAAAAAGGAACCAAAACCCAACAACAAAACAACAAGAAACTGGGCTACTTTGCTGGGACCAGGATCCAGAGAGGGAGCTGGGGACTAATACTATACCAAGCTCCCTTGAAGAGTCAAGGAGCACGCAAGTGGCTCTTATACTGGACAAGAATTACTCAGCTGGGGAAAAGAGATAAATGTGTGTGGACCCGCCTGGGTACAATGGGCTATGGCGGAGATGAGAGGGACAAGGGTCGCATGCCAGCCTGCTGCTCCCCAGAAGCCAACAGACTAGGCGTTCTGGGAGAGAAATCATATTTCATACCATCAGGCCATTCTGAAACTGAAACAGCATCCAGAGGTGTCACTGCACTGTCCCTGCTGTATGAGGACAGGGTTGGGTGCACCATCTCCCAACCATGCACCAGGCAGAGCCAGTAATGGTTCTGCTCTCTAGTTACAGAGCTGGAGGCCAGGTCCAGGAGCCCACCCTCTACCCATTCAGCACCCAGAACACCACATGGAAAGAAGCAAAGCACAAGAGACCACAGCCTCTGAGTGCAAAGGTGTCTCCATGCAGGACTACCCGGCAGTTCCACAGCAGGCTCTACCAGACCAGTTACTGTGACCTTCTCTGCCCCAGATTCTCCATGCTCAGCCCAGAGCCTGCCACACCCTAATGCCTAAAAAACAGAGATGAATAAACAGGTGCACCACCACGAACAGACCCAACACTGTGCAGGCAACACTCACTCAAAACCCATGCTGAGCTAAGAATCTGTGAGGCCATTAGAACCATCACTTCTGTCCCTGGGACTCAAGGGATGGCTCAGCACCAGCTCCTCTGGCAGAGAACCCAGGTTTGGCTCCCAGCATCTACCTAGTAGTTCAGGCTTGCCTGTAACCTCAGTTCCAGGGGATCTTGCAATTTCTGGTCTCTGCAGGGACTGTTTATACATGTTGTGCATATATATACACACAGACATTCACGCATATCCAAAAAAAGTAAATCCTTAAAAAACATTTCAATTCTGGGCCCCCTGGATATGCCGAGGGTACCAGGCAGAGGGCATGCTGGGACGCCTAGATGAAAACATCCTTTTGCAGCTTTTCCTTCTTCCTCCCTCTCTTTTCCAGACAGAGTCTCTCTACAGAGCCCCGACTGTCCTAGCACAGCCTACATAGACCAGGCTGGTCTTGAACTCAGAGATCTCCCTGCCTCTGCCTCCCGAGTGTTGGGTTTGAAGGTGTGTACCACTATTCCTGGCACATTCCTTGTTTTCTTTATGTTTTTGGTTTGGGGCAATGTCTTGCTTTGAAGCCCAAGCTAACCTTAATTCCACTGCAATTCCCCTGTCTTGAATGCCGGGATTACACACATGCAGCAGAGTCCTTGGTTTCTAAGATCACATTAATGATCAATTATGGAGCATGTGCTAAGCACAGAAGCTGTATGGTCAGTTCTTAGGCAAGCTCTAGGTTCTCCCACTGGCCCAAGCAGGAGTTCCTCTGAGAATAGAAGGGGCAGGCCAGAGCCAGACAGCCAGGCAGCCCCCAAAGGAGTACCAAAACCTCCACAAGTCTCTGGTTGGCTTAAGTTCATCATAGGGCCCTCCTTAAAAAGCCAAACCCCCCCCCCCCCCCCCAACTCTGACTTCCTAGCCAGGCAGTGTGCTGGGGCACAGAGAAGCAAGGGCAGGTTGGAAGCAGTCAGCTTCTGTCCTGGTCCAAAGCCCAGAAAAAGGAGAGAAATCGGATCAGTACACTACACCGATGCCCTCATAAGAGGCCCAGCACACAATCGGTAACCTCAAAGCTGGACAGATGGAACACTAGAGGTCAAGTCATTCCCCCAATGGCCTGCCCTTCTGATCCTGCCAGGAACCAGCTTCAAGGCTGAGAACAGACCTAGCACAAACAGTCAGTTTCCCTTCACCCCTCTGTCCTGGCATCCTCCCACCAGAAAGGATGTGTGGAGGGTGCTGGCTAGGACCTGAAAGCTCCATCCTTGTGCACAGGGGAACGGAGATGTCCCAGGAGATGGCAGGCTGACAGTTCCTTTCCAGACAGTCTGTGCAGGGGGCCGGGCAGAGCTTCTTCCTGGCCTCCATTCCCTCTACTTGAGACAGGCAGCTGCTTCACCTCCATTCCCTCTACTTGAGACAGGCAGCTGCTTCATCAATGTCAGAGTTAATTAGGGCCATTTCTGTCATCATGTGGCTAAGGAACATTCACCCACAATAGACAGGGTCTATGAAGAGAAGACTGCCACGCTGGGAATTCACAGACATCAAATGCTGCCTCCAAAAGAAGGGGTGGGCGTGCAGGCCTGACAGTGTATCAGCCCTAGAAAGTACCTATGAGGCGCCCCAGCCCCATGGGCCCTCTGAAGACAGAAAACAAAATCTATCTCGGAACCCACTAGTAGGGCCTTAGCAGATGAAGCAGGGCTAAGCATCAGAGCCCTTCCACATCACACTGGAAGCAGAACAAAGAATTCACTTCTCAGGCAGGCTGCCATAAACCACGAGCTACCCACAGCCATGCCAACCACAGCCCACCCTTCCTAGGGAGCAAAGCCCATTCAGAGTAAGGGAGAACAGGTTCCAAACACAGGGATGAAAATCAGTGAGAAAGAGAAAGCTGCAGGACTTCAGCAAGTGGATAGCAGAACCATAGACACAATCAGTTACACATGGGCCTGTGGCAAGACAGCCTAGGCAGCCTGGGCCTCTATGCTGTCTACACTAACTCTGGGCCCTTACCCCTGGGACCTCATGACCTCGGCTTCCACAAAACACCCCTTAGAATGGCTGTTAGTGCCTTCTAGGCAAAGGGTTGGGGAAGCAAGAAGGCAGAAGGTAGGGACTGAGATTTCAGATGACTTTAGACTGTGCAGGCAGGTACAGACAGCGGGACAGACAGTGGGAGACAGGATTTCTGCAGTCAGCCCCGAGCAGACATTACCCTGCTCCAGAATCTTCTCTCCATGCAACCCAGTCATGGGTCCTCAAGGTTCTTGGCTCTGTGTGCGCTGGGAGAGATGTCCAAACAGCTCAGACTAAGCTCTAAGGATGTGCAAGGGCCAAGGCCTGAAGGACAGTCAGAGAGAATCTGTCAACTGTGGCTGATGACCTGGGTACGTCCCTCGATGGTTTTCTCGCTTGAGAGTCTGAACTGGGACTGCCTCACATTAGAGACAGAATGGCTCATGAATACCAAGATGCTAAACAATGTACAGTACCAAAACTTTAGTCAGTGTGGACTTGCTTCACAAAGAGACCTGACCAAATCTTTGAGACCTGACCAGAGCTGTCTTTGTGACAGCGTCACCCCTCTCAGCCCATGGGCTCTGGACCAGAACTCTGCCTGAGCCCAGAGAAGGCCAGTCCTGGGACCTGAGTATGTTAAAAAGTTAGAAGCCTTCCTCGTCCTTTACTGATGCCAGCAACACTAGTGTACTCAAAGTCAACAGAAGGACTTTGAGGACGGAGCTCATCTACGATGTGTCTAAGCCGCTGGACTGAACAAATACCATTAACACTCGGATTGTTGGGATGCTCACCATCAGCGAGTCAGCTGGCTGTGTAGAGGCCAGCAGCAGGGGAACAGGCAGGGAGAAGGGTGGATTTCAGAATTGGAAGTGATTGCATTTGCTAAAACCAAACAGTCTGGGTCAGGTGACAGCAATATGTCAATTTGCCAAGGGCCATCGGTCATATATTAGCTAAGCTGAGCAAGTTAAGTGTCTGGTACCCAAGAGCAGCCAGGCAGGGCCAGAGACCCATGAGAAGACTGCCTGTCTCTTAGGCCTACATTTTCCAGCCTTGACCCTCAGGACTAGTTGCATAAATTCTAGGGCCAAGTAAAACATGAAAGTGGGGGCTCTTTCAAAGATTAGCGATTTCTAGGTGGTTCCAGTAGAGCATGGGACAGATGTGGGCCCTTCCGAGCATGGGATTCTGTGCCACTACACTGGTCTCCAGGGCACTGTTGGGATACACAGAAACTGCTTGGGATAACTGAAAGTCAGGTGTGAATCTGTGAAAATGGAGAAAAGGGAGGAGGCAGAAATCTGGGATGAGAAATGGGGGAGGTTGACATGTTGGGTGGAGCCAGAAAATGCTCAGGCTCTGCCTGGAGCAGAGCCTGGAGTTACTAGATTCCCAGATGGAGTATGGGCTCTGGGCAAGCCACAGGGCACCCGGCACACACCAGGGCTCTGGGCAAGCAACAGGGCACCCGGCACACACCAGGGCTCTGGGAATGTCCACAGGGCACCCGGCACACACCAGGGCTCTGGGAATGTCTAGAGGGCACCCAGCACACACCAGGGATCTGGGATGTCCACAGGGCACCCGGCACACACCAGGGCTCTGGGAATGTCCACAGGGCACCCGGCACACACCAGGGCTCTGGGAATGTCCACAGGGCACCCGGCACACACCAGGGATCTGGGATGTCCACAGGGCACCCAGCATACACCAGGGCTCTGGGATGTCCACAGGGCACCGGGCACACACCAGAGGAATGTGCTGTCTTATGGGACCTGGAAGCACTCTGAAGCAGGGCTAACACTTCTTCTTTTCACTGTATTCTAGAGTCTTGAGAAGATGCCACGTAGCAGGGCAAATATCCGCAGTGGCTGTCCCAGTCTGGACCCTGCATGCTTTTGCCTGGTAGAACTGTGCATTCAATTCCTTGCAGACAGTAAGATTCCTTCTCTGGTGTCCTCACCTGGCCTAAACCAGCCC